CTGCTGTGGGCCATTGTGTGTATGCATGTACACCTAGTAGCTCCTGAACCTGTTGGCCAACGTCAAGAGCTCTGCCTTCTTGCTGTTGTGGAGAGGAGCAATTTCGTGACTGTCTTGAGAATCAGTAAGCAGCTGGAGGAAAGAAGTCCTGAAGCATGAGTCAACTGTAGGACTTGCACCTGGGGGAAACAAAGCTGCTTTGGTTCACGGCTTCTGGAAGTGCTTGATCTAACTTTAGCACTTCTCAGGGAAGAACTGTACTCCAGATGCCAGGAAAGGCAATTAAAGAGGACTCTGAAATAATTGCTTTGAACTCTTCAGAAATTACAAGCAGCATCTTCTAAGAAGGTCAAGTGAACAATAGTGACTTCAGCCCAGATCACTGAAGGATCACTCTTTGCACCTACTAGTAGGAGATGCTGAGGCCAGATGTATGCCTAAGCAGTTACTCTTTTTTGCAGTCCAGTTCCAGTTATGCAGGGTCTGAAGCCCAGAATCACCTACCTGTTTCTGATGTGATTATATAAAAATTGAACTTTTGCCTAGCACTGTTTCTGCCAAGGGTTCTTGCATGGAATTTTGCTCTATTTCAATATATCCCTTGATTCCCAGGGTAGTTTTCTTTCCACCAGGCCCCATTCTAGAGGCTGGGAAGCGTTCTTGACCCTTCCCAGTTGCTTTTGTGTTGCACTGTGTAAAAGTGTATTGATAAGGCTCCCTGATCTCCAAGAGATGCTTTTGGTCGTGCACAGAGAAGTCATTCTTACATGGAGAGGGGTCCTTTAGACAAAATCAGAAGGCACTTGGGGTTGCCAGCAGTTCTGAGGAATCAGCTGGGTACTTTACAGATCAACAAAAAATGACTCAGCACTTTTTGCTGCTGTGTCCTGTGTTGGAGCCAAGCTCGCTTGCTCCCCGCTGCATTCCAGCAGCACAGAGTGGGAAGTCAGTGCCTTGATGCTGATAAAGATTTTCCCATGGTGCAAGTCAGCCTAAGAGATGGTCTCTGCTTTTTTTCATCACCTAGAGGTGGTAATGAGAAAGCAAAAGCAGAAACGAGTCTTGAAGTGATTCAAAGCCCATTTTCACTGGACTTTATCTTGCATCCTCCCACTTGTGCCAAGCAGGACAGAGCTGGGGTGAGTTTATTTTCCATCCCCCTCATTGTTGCAATACCTTCTCGGAGTCTCCTACTTAAAGCTGGAGAGGTCCTAAAGAAAAAGAAATTCTAAAGCGGTGACCACCTGCCTTTGCCCCATATATAGCTTTGGTATCCGAGTTACTCTGTTTTGTCTGTGGTACCGTCTGTTTATATCCAGTTCTGTTTTCTGTCCATACTCACCAGCACCATCGTATCTCCCAGTCTGTGTAGAAGTCTGGAAGCACAGATGTACACACAGCCCAGGAGTTGTCAACATCTCCTGTTTTTTAACGGGGATATCTAGGATAAAGGCTTAGGGTGGATGAGCTTCCTTGACCAGCGAGAGCAGGAGATGAGAAGAACGTTTCCTCGTGCTGCAACTTTGCATAGAAGGATCTGTGTGTCTTTCTCTGGGTCAGTTTCAGTTCCAGAGCCAGGGTGGAGAGTGTCCTACCTACCTCTCTCCAGCCAGGAGGAAGGGGATTTTAAGGGTTGTAAGTGCCATGTCAGCAATCTGGCTAGCAGACCCAGAAGAGAAGCTCTGCACCAGGCTGGCTCGCTCTCCAGCACAAAGCAGTTGGTTCCCCATTCCTCAGGGACTTAGTGGCTTCAGTGTGAGCAGTGAGGGTTCAGCCTCTCTGTCTCTGCAGTGTGCAGCCCTGACACTTTGTGGCATAGACCATGGTCACAGCTGGCCATTTTCACCAAGTGAAACACCATGGTGAAAACCTGGTGTTTCACTGGAGGTGAAGGCACCGAAATTGCCATCTCCTGGGAAGGCCACAACACCCTCCGGTGGTGCCCCAAGCCCTGCTTCTTCCTGTTTCTAACAATGCAGTCCTTGTTTTGCTAATCTGAAGCATATACCTAACATAAGCATGTACACCTCCACATCAGATCCACCTCAAGCTAAAAGAGCTTCACATTTCTTTTGCAAAACCTGAGGTCTCTGTATCCTAAACTTACCTTTCAAATACAACTGCAGGATCTGCATAATTGAAGCTTTTGCTCTAATCTCATTACCTCCCTAGGGCAGTTCCTGACAAATGGAGATTATAAGAGAAGGTCTGTAGTAAACATAACTAAAAAGGCATCTTTAATGTTTTTGCAATGTATTCAAAGCAGCTTGGGTGCTGAGCGCAGAAAACTCATTTCCCTTTTACCTGAAATGCCATTATGTTTATTAAATTAAGAGTGGCATTGATCCAAGAACATATCCAAATTTTTTGTGATTTTGCATTTGTCATAACTGAAATATCTCACTTAATATTTCTCTATACCTGTAAATAATATTTTCCATCACAGAATACTTGTCTCAGATTTTCCTCAGTGACTTTGTATCAGATCTGAAAAAGAGCTATCACAGAAAATAAAATGGGACTAAAATAACAGTCCTTTGTATTAAATTTAACATTTGGCTTCTGTCCCAGAATTTTCCATGTCCATATTAGAATCAGATGGTAGCATAAGATGAAAAGATTTCCTGGATGGGTTTTATTCTTATTCTTATTAAAGGGCTGATAACAGGCTGAAGGCAAGATACTTGTTGAAGCAAAAAATCTGCCTAATATCAAAGGCTGGATGGACAAGCTGACATGTATTATAGTTAGGCCTCCCTGCTTGATCCTGTTTCAGTATCATAAAATCATTCTGCTAGTGAACATGAAGTATAAAAATTCTAGCGTGAGAGCAAAAAGCCCAGGCTGGCAGGTAGCGCTCCTTTGTGCACACTGCCTTATGGTTAGTAGCTGACCATAAGCCAAGTCAATGGTTTAATATCAAAAAACAGTGCTGGTGACAGCACAGTGTAGCTATATTTAAAATTTTAGTTATTCTCAAATGTTTGCATTCATGAAAGGCAGTCCCTTGTCCTGACATGCCTGTGGAGCTGGTAACACGTGTGATGTGACAGCACAGGGCCGCCCCACCGGTACTGCTCAGCCTTCTTCAGGAGCATCCTCTGCTCTGTCCCGCAACCAGCCGCTTGCCCCAGGTTTTTTTGGCAATCTGGAGACAGAAAGATCAGAGGGACCTAAATACTCTTCAGAAAGCAATTTTCCCTTTACTCAAAGCAGCTTTGTATAGTACTTATGTATGATTGGGCTTAAATTGTACAAATATTTGCAGGCTGTGGATATTCTATGCAAAACCAATTACTTTTGATAAAATGAAGGAGCGGTGCTTTCTAGTGTTGCTGTTCTGCTGTAGTGGAGGCTGAGAGTATGATATTGGAGCTATAAATTAGATTTTGCAAAGCGGCTCTTCTCTAGGGTGTCTGCCTCTTCAGATTGACAGGCTATAATCAGCTTTTTCTTGGGGATATTTTTGATGTTTTGATGCAGTATCTTCAGAAACAAAAGTAGAGCAGCAATTGCAGGCTGCGCTGACCCTTCATTTCAGCTTGCAAAGGGTATTGAAGAGCAAATGTACTTTATAGATATCTTATGCTGCTTTTCTAAATACACCTTTTTAAAGCAACTGCTATGTGGTTTGCATTTACAGGTGGTAAGATAATTGTTTCACCATCACTGAGTGTTTACAGCATCAACGTCAACAACCGAGCTTATAACCAGGGCTCCTTTTATAATCAATAGGAGGAAATGTACATGTTTAGAGGAGTGATTCGCACGCTTATTTTAGACATCTTTCTGGTGAGATGGATTGTATTCTAGAAGTGCCTATTTCTCTCCTTGGTGATAATTAATCCTAGTGTAATTAGACTACCTGTACCATACAACATGTTTCTGAATAGTACTGTGTTCTCACTCTGCTATTAATACTGTTTGTATTAATGCTTTGTTTTTTTTAAATATAATGATCAGATTGCCACAGGGAATACACAAAGAGATCACTTGTGTTTGTAAGAAATAACTTGGTGCAGTCCCCAGGAGGTTTTTGTCACTGTTAATTACAGCTACCTTAATGCTTCCTGTGAAAGCTGTTTCAGTAGTTGTATTGATCCTGTCCTCCATGACTCAGATACTAGCTTGATGCTGAACGCCTTCTCAGATAAACTGTTGGGGGCATGTTGGGTGCTCAGATGATACTAAGGGACATAGGGCAGAAATCTCTGAGAGAACACGGGACTGTCCTGAAAACAACCTCAAGGAGGCCAGATGAATGGAGCTGTAGCACAAAAATGCCTGTTTTCAGGAATGTTGCTATAAATGGAACGAAGCATAATTTGTACTGGGATCAACGTTGATGCCCATTTGGGTTCACCTGAATCATGCTTATGGGTTTATTCAAGTAGAAGAAAAGACCTGGAGCTGGTCTCCTCAAGATGAGTTTGCCGTATATAACAGGTCACAAAGGGCAAGTAGCATCTTAGGAGACTGAGGAATTTCCTGGGAGCAGCCCTCAGCAAAACAAAACAGAAAAAATAAATCAAATAATACCTAGTAACTAAGAAATCAAAAGTTATTTTCAAAGTGTATAAACAGAGACCCAGAATAGAAGTAATCTGGTATTACTGGTCCCACATTCGTCATTTGCCGCTATATCATATTGGTGCAAGCAGATTAATTTTCAGATGGCGATGGCTCCTGGAGACGTGTTCCTTGAAAATCTTTCGTGTTCACTATCCTGAAATCTGTAATTACTTTTGGAAGTCTTGGCTTTGGAGTAGAATTCTGATGTGTGAATGTCAGAATAGGCTCCCTAGTATGGTCCACTGAGCATTAGCTTTCCTCTAATTAATCTTCTAGTTGATTATTGCATTAGTTTTTCTAGGTGAGTATGTAATCCATTTCTTTAATTAATTCTTTCACTTCAGCTTTGCTTATTGCCTCCTTTATCAAGGTCTTACATTAATATTTGCAGCATCACCTACTGACATGTGTATGCCTTTTCTTTACAGATATCACTGAAATTGCACCATTTCTTTTGAAGACTTCACCGACAGATCAGCAGCTGAACAAGCTTGCGAGGAGACTGGGACCCGAATGGGAGCATATAGTTCTGTGTTTGGGTTTGTCCCATACTGACATCTATCGATGTAAAGTCAATCACCCCCACAACCTGCAGTCACAGATTGTAGCTGCATTTGTCCTGTGGAGACAGCGCTTGGGGAAAAAAGCAACAATCCAAAGTCTGCAAGCCAGTCTGATGGCAGAAGAGGTGGATCCTTCTGTGATACAGTATATGCTTGAGTGAAGCCTTGCTATTGATCGGGAGCTTTCAAGTACTTCGTGAAATTAAATCAAGAGGGTTCGTGGAAATGCATGTTGAAGATCTGATGCCTTAAACTGGAAAAAAGGGATTGGGAACTATGGTTTTATTAAGCTTAAACATTCCAGTTTCCTGTGGCATCTTGTGGCTTGTAATTCTTTTCATGCCAGATTAATTTTTAGCAAGCATTAAAAAATTGATCACGCTTTCCTGTTCACTTTTATACTTTTCCAGTGGGGATATAGGGTGACACTTAAACTGCTTGTAAGCAGGCGCCCCTGCAGTGAGCTCAGCAAGGTTTCTGGTTTCATTGAAGGGGCAACACTTGGTTTAACTTATTTGCTGGAGGAGTCCTTTTTGCTGCTGTTCTGTGCTAGTTCCCTGATACCCCAGCAAGAAATGAGAATAATCACTGTTGCTAATTTAACAATTTTACAACAGTTATTGCAAGTGGCTAATTTCACATTTATAAAAGCTTTAGCACATGGAGTTTCTTTCTAGGGTAAATGGCTGCCACCTTAGTCTGCCTTTGAAATTGGTGTGTCCAAGAGGGTTTCTCTAATTATTATTTAATGGGTGTATCTGCAAGGAGGTTGGCACCGTGTGTGTATGCCGTCTCTTACCATAGCGCAGGGGAGGAGTTCTCAGGGAAGACACACAGCAGAAAAGTGACCAAAAGATAGTCAGAAACAGGCAAACAGAGTGAAAAGAGGCCTGAAAAACGAGACAACCTTTCAGTTGTCCATGTTTGTCTCCACTAATAAACTGGGAGACAGCCTGGGGCCTGCTGAGTCTTGCACTATGCTCTGGATCCGGGCAGTCTTGTTTCACAAAAGTTTTACTTTTAGGTCAAGTATTCACAGTCATCTTCCTCTGGCCACCACATGCCCAACAGGGTAGGGAAGCTTGCAGATCCTTTCTGCTCAAGATGTACTCCTCACTGCTCTCCCTCCAGCTTGTGCCATCCACCAGGCTCATTTGATTTCTACCAGCTTTTCTGAATCTAATAGGAGACATAACTGTGTCTCCTGTCCCCAGTTCTTTGCCAGGTGTAATTGTACCACCTGTGAGAATTAGATTTTATCCAGAAGAACAGTAAAGCCTGGGCTTTTCTCTTCCACTTCTTTCAGAGATTTTCTTCCTACTGGAAGACACCACTGAGGTTTTGCTGACCAGGTAAAGGGGGATAAGGCCACAGGGTATGTATCTGGAGGTGATGGGAGTGACCAGCTGCTCTCTGAGGCCTGATGATAAGAGGCAGAATATGTCTTAATTCTCCCTGAGCAGTTTGCTGCACAGTAAATGAGGAACAAAGTTTGGATACAGGGTTTCCAGTTGTATTTATGAGCAAGTTATGGTAGACTACGGAGTCTTACCAAGTAACATCCTGCAGGATGTTGCAATACCTGCCTCATGATTTGAGAGCTGCTTCATCAAAAGTCTTAATTGGGGTAAGAATTACTGCCTTTCTTTTATTCTTCTTTTTCTTTTTTTTCTTTTCTTTTTTTTTTTAATTCTTCCTATATCCTATATCCAAATTTTGGAAGACATCTGGGCAATTAGGAAAGACAAACAGGTTTTAAGGAAATCATTTCTGCCTTGGGTCTTTTCAGAAGCATAGAAATAAGAAAACACCCTAGCAAGGTCAGCACCTGCAGGTCCTGAAGCAATCTGGTGGTATTTTGGTTTGAATCTCCTGTATACAGTTATGGCCTTGAGTAAATCATGATCCTGTTATACTTTACTCAGATCTTAACTAATCATATCCTATTATGGCTCCTTATAGAGTTTAAGTCTATCAACAAACGCCAAGTAAACAATGTAAATCACTTTAGGCCTTGGAATTTATTTATTTTTCTGTTTCATGATGCTTTAATGCCATCATTAAACATGTTCTGCATTTTAGGGAACTGGGACAAAGCAGTGTCCCTGGCAGCACTTTGGAGGAGCAAAAGCTGGAGATGGGGAACAGGAGAAACTACTGAAAACACGATTCAGAGGAAGAAGCTGGCTCCCAGTGACAAATGCAAGTATCTTATCTTGTTCTGAGCCAGCATGGACCAAGTCTAAAGGCAGACTGGTCTCCAAGGGAGTCATCCCCATTCAACCCAGCATGAGCACAGAGCTCCAGGAAGGCAGCCAGTGTGGGTGGTAAAACTGTGATGGGCACACTCGCGGGTCCCTGGTACCTTCTTCTTTGGGTGAACATTGCATTTCATGTTGTTCATTTGTAAGACCAATGTCAGCTTATCCATAGATAATGGATTTAGAGTCTTTTTTAGTGGTTAAGAAAACAGCTTGCAGTAGGTATGAAGTGTCATGTCAAAGAAGCCTTCCCTACAGGTCAGGTATCCTGTGTATCTCCTATGGGCCACTGGAAACCTGATGGGTGAGTGTCGTATCAGGTAGTTTCTCCACTGAAATTTGTCTTTCAGTGGGCAAAATCCTGCCTCCCAGCAGTGGTACTGAAATTAAAGGAGTTGCGACTCGACAAGGAATTTAAAACCTGGGCCTCTCATATTGTAGAACAAAGCACTTAATTCATAATTTATGGTTACTTTCACATTCCCAGGCCTGAAAATAATGTTGTAATACTTGAGTTGCAAATATTGAAGGGAGAGGTTTACTTATTTTATGAGATTGTTTCCATTGCTGTTATTTTTAAATTCATAGAAATGTTCCTATTAGACTCTTCAGTTTTATTAAAGCTTGTTTTTTGCACCACACAAATGCAGGCACACATTTAACTTGACAGTAGTATTCCTTTAACCCAGTGGATTTTTCCATCCACTTAGAAATATTTTTCTTCTGTATGTAATGCTTTATTTTGCACAAGGATGCAATTAAGACAATTTAATTCTTCAGATGTATAGCAAGGCCTCTTATTCTCTCTTAGGACAGCCAAAAGGTCTTAAAATGTTTATTCTTCTCTGGCTAATTTGGGAGCAAATGTTACTTATTTAAATCTCACTCACAGACAAGCCTGCGGCTTGATTATTGTTCAGGAGTGAGGCAACTCAGTGAACGAGTTTCCCCATCTCTCCCTTGGCCTCAACTCCCTTGCGCCACCGGGTTTGGGTGATGACAGGGGGCTTGCACAGGGGCTTCTGTCCTCCCTGCCCACCATGCCCCCAGGACTGGTGCACAGGTCAGGCTGACAGCCAAGAGCAGCCCCCAGCAAGGACTCATCTCTCTTCCACTGCTCATCGCTTCCAGTGAGGCATGTGGCCACTCCAGGCTTCAGGCTAGCATGTGGTCTCAGGGGCAAAGGTTAGCCAGCAGCAACTGCTCTTTGATGTGTTTAGGTTTCTTAACTGATGTTGAAAATGCCTTTCTAGTGAAAATGGTATAATTGCCATCTACTTAGTTGTGGCAGTGTTTAGGAGCCCCTAGAGAAGAAAGCTTAAAGGTGGCCTCTGCTGGACCTTCTATGAGATGGATGGCTTAACTTCTAGTCTTTGGGAAAAGTAGCCACTGATTTTTCTTCCTTGGTCTGTAAAGAGATCCCATTAACTCTCTTAAGTGGTAAGTATGCTTTACAAAAGCTCTTTTGAACTCTGCAAGTAGAGGTGGACTCAGCATAGCAACAGGCAAGGCCTAAGAGCACTCTTTCTCCCCACCTATATAAAGTGGCATGGATGTTCACAAAGGAGGGATGTCCTCAGGGCAGAATCAGGTCAAGGAGGCTTTACAAGGCACTGAAGAGTGGCTGAAATGTACAGTAAAATGAAAATGCAGTCATCTTTGAGCTGCTTCACCCAGATGATGCGGGGGAAATTTCCATCTTGAGTCATCTATTATGACAGTCGTTGATCTATGGAATAAAACATTCTGCAAAAGGCTGGGAAAATAAACAAAGTCGTATTATATTCGAAGAACATCAAAGGCACACTCATCTGATGCTAATGCGGTATGCTGCCAGTTTTGTTTCTTACTGGAAATAAAAACAGTCTCTGAGAAGTAATCTCTTTCTAAGCTTCCATATTCATAGCCGCAGACTAATGTCAAGGCGTAGTAGTAGAACTGAAACTGCAGTTCAAGAAAGCTTTGTGTATTTGCAATGAATATTCAAAAGCTTTGTCCAGATTTCACTAAGTGAAAAGAATTTTGACTTTTAAGGTGTCTTTCTATCACCTGATAAATAGACCTAAAAGTAAGTCCAGTGATTTGGCTTTTTTTTTGGCCTGAATACACTGTCCTTTTTAATGAATTTCCTGAGAAAAAGGAACATTCGCTGGAAATGGAAATAATCTTTCAAAATATCTTTCCAGATTAAAGAAAAAAGAAGTATGTGCTTTAGCAGAATTCACTTCTGAACCTAGCATTTTGGTTGTGGAAAAAGACAAATTACAATTTCCCTTTGAAGCTGTTGGGGAGAGCTGGATGATCAGCAGAGCTGATAATGGTGCAGGAAGACTCCCAGCACTCCTGCAGCAGGGACTGCTTTAAAATGCCTGCACATGTTGCAGATACCATTTCTGACACTGATGTCTGGTCCAAGCCCCAACAGCAAAGAGACAAAAAGTCTCTTGTTAACTTCAATGCGCTTTGGATTAGGCCTTCTTTAATTGGAACCTGCTGAAGTGTGGTACTTTTACTACCTCCCTTTGAAAAGCAGGCTTTATGGATTTGGGACAATAAAAAGGGAAGGGGTTTTTGTGGGTGTAGTAAGCATTCTAGGTTATGGGGTCCTCTTTTCACTGCCTCAAGTGCTACTTTGCACTATGCGCTTCAAAGTAAGCATCATGAGAAGGGGAAAAAAAAAGAGGAGTGGAGCCATTCAGCAAAGGATATATCAGTAAGTCTCCAAAACCAAGATCATTTTGAGTTCTGGAATGTGAACAGTCCCATTAAGAGGCGGTATTTGATGGCTCAGGAGATTGCTTATACATTCATGGAGTTTTCCACCTCGAGATCAAGAATCCAAAGCCACTATTGATCCAAAAGAAAAGCAACCTAATGGCAGCCTGTTCATGTTCTTTAATCTGTCCTCACAATTTTCACATCTGACCTACACAGCACCAGCCCTTGCTATCAGTCTTAGAAAAGGGCAGAGGGGATCGAACGAGCCAAGTAGTTGAACTGCTCTCTGCCCAGGGAGGATAAAGTGGGTAACATGCTTGGCCACAGCTGGCGTTAATGTTCACATGGCATGGGCAGAGAAGCCACCAGCTTCCTGGGTTGCGACCCAGACCTCTCCCCACCAGC